ATTTTTAATTATAATTTTTATATATTTTTATTTTTTTTTTTTTTTTTTTTTTCTACAGCTTTATTTTTTATTGATTTATGTTTAATATAATTTTTTATATTTAAAATAAAAAGTTCATAAAAATAATAAAAAAGAGAAATAAATTATAATTTTATTCAAATAAAAGTTTCGCAAATAACATCTATATAAATAGAACTATTTAAAAAAAACTTAAAACAAAATATACTGCTTTAAATATTAGATTTTTATTACAACGAATATAAAAATAAATGATTTATTTTTTTATATTATTTTTGTTTTTTAAAATAAACATATCTTGCATATGATTCCTTATAATTAAAAAGTCATATATATAAAATTAGATAAGTGTATACATATATATATATATATATATAATTATTAAAATAAAATTTCAAAAATTATTTTTTGAACAGTGTTTTAATTTTCATTAAAAAAAAATTTGTAATTTTAAAAAAGGTTTAATAAATATACTTATAAATAATTATGAGTATTTATTAATTTTATAATTAACAAAGTTTTTATATAATTATAATGTTATAATTAAAAATGAACGTTTATTAGGAGTTACTTTATAATACATATTTATGAATTATATATAAATATATTTAATTTTTTTTTTTTTTTTTTTTTTTTTTTTTTCCCCATTGCAAAAATATAAAATGCAAAACGTAGAAAATAAAAAAATAAAAATGAAATTTAAATTGAATAATATTGATAAAAAGAATACTCTTAATTTAAATAAAGGAAAAAATGATATAAATTCAAGATATAATTTGAATTGTACTAATAATAACACTACACAGAATAATATTATAAGTAATAATAAAAGTTCATTAGAAAATTCTAATTCTAATAATTTAATCAACAATATAAAAATAAATATAGTGAGTTCTAACAGTAATAATAATAATAATAATAATAATACTAATAACAATATTATTAGTAATAATAATAATAATAGTAGTTTAAATGGTAATAGTAATAGCAATAATAATAACAGTAATTTACTTAATGGAAATAAATATATTTTAAAAAGTAATTTAAAAATATATTATAAAAATGAAATAATACCTTTTTCTTTTTTATATCATAAAATAATAACTATATTAAAATCTCATTATAATAATCATATAAGCAATAATCCAGTTGTAGCAAATAAAGGAATTTCATTTTTCCATCTAGAAAATATGCTAATTAATTTTGGCTTTAAAGGTGTTGATATAAATAATCATTTTTTATTAAGTTATTTAGCATCATCAAAACAAATTAAAATTGATTTAAATGAAAAAAGAATTTGTTACATTAATCCATATATTGATATTACAAATATAACATCTTTATTAAATAAAATAAATAAATATGGCTTTTTATATGGTTATGAAATCAATGATGATTTAATTAATACCAACAAAGAAATATATAAATGGGTAAACACATTACTGTTTGAAAAAAAAGTTAGATGTATACGATCAAATAATAGCCATTTAAGAGGAAAACTAAAATGTAAAAACCTCCCAACTTTTTGTGATATTTATTCAAAAAATAAATGTGATAATTGTTTTTACAACTTGAAAGGCTTTATATTTTTTCCACTTTCCTATGAACAAATTGAAAAAGAACGTTACACAATTACAAACGATATAAAAACATTATGGGATGAAATTACTTTACCAAATCTTGATAATATTTTAAAAGAATACAAATTAAAATCAACAAATAATCTTTTTTTGAATGATAATATTCAAAAAAGAAAAACTAAAGATGATAAATTTGCACCCATTCTTAAAAAAATGAAAAGAATTTACAATACTCATCTATTTACTCCAGATGAAATTAAAAATGAGTTTATACAAAAAAAATAAAATATACATTTAATATCAAAATTGTAAAAATTATAAAATACACATTAATTTATTACAATGATAAATATAAAAAAAAAAAATTATTGTTGCTTTACAAAATATATCTTAAATATTGTAAAATTTATTAACTTCAAAAAAAAAAAAAAAAAATTTTTCTTTATATCATAGAGTAGTGAGAAATCAAATAAAAGAAATCCTATATTATTATCACATTAAATTTTTAAAAAAAATATATATATATATACACACTATATAAAAAGTATATTATCCCAAGTTTTTTTTTTTTTTTTTTTTTTTTTTTTTTTTTTTTTTTTTTTATATCTTTTTATCTCAAAAGTAAATTTGGTACCCTTTTAAATAACTAATATAATTTTATCATGGTTAATTGAAATTAATCAAAAAAAAAAAAAAAAAAG